AATCTCTGACATGACAGAACACTTCTGACACACAGATCCAGTCCTGTGCACCTCCACAAAGAATGTTCTTATCCTACGAGCCAAACCATCTGTCAGTGCTGTTTCCCCTCAGCTAACCTGCCAGCACCACACCAGTGTGCTCACAGAACACAGGCCCACTTCATTTATTTATAGAATAAACGGCACTTATTCTGGTGAACTCCTGCACAGCAAGGAACACGGCTGCCCATACAGCACTGCTCTGAGGAACCACGGGAACAAGCTGCCTTCCAGCTGGGAGGGCTGAGCAGGGCACCCTCTGCCTCATCCCTTTTAAGGGGATGCTTTCTTCTGATACAGAAGTGCTTTGGAGGTTGTGTAAGTGAAATGGGCAAGGTTTATACCGAACCTACGTCTCAAACTGGGATATGTGGTATCGCCTGGGCTCAGTAAAGATATCTTGGCAAAGGATATCTATTTCAAGCACGCTGCTGTTATTAAAAAGCATTTTACAAGGTTTCCTACAGAGATGTGAACAAAACATCTCGCCAAATCGTCACCACCTCAGGTCCTTGTAACACGAGCAAAGGACTCAAGTTATGGGCTGTTCTCTCACAAATGATACAAGTTGGCAAGTGGTAAAACCATCATCTGCACTGAGACTGCCAGCAATGAGGAAGCAGCTACGAAATCAGAGCTAAGTCTGAAGGCTGACAGAAATGCCCCAGTGCAACTCCTCCTCTTCAGCTCTTTCATCCAGCTGAAGGGGGTGCTCACCTTAAAATAATTAAGATGACGAGGAGGGATCTTCCCAAAACAACACTTGCCTCAGGAAGCACATTTTCACACTGAGAAGTTGCAACATGGAGTCATGATGTTCTCTAAACCTCCCATTGCCTAGAGGAACAAAGAGAGGTCTTTGCATTCTGATCGCATATTCAACACCAAAACTAACCAAGTGAAATCAGTTTGGAAATGAAAGATATTGTGAAGAATAAAGTGTATCCCTACATCCGAAACAGAATCAACAGAGCTGCATGTTGTGAACACAAACCTTGTCAGACCTCCCTCTCCCTTCCACAAAAGAAAACCAACTCTGTGCTTTTCTGGTCCCAGCCAACAGACAGAACGCAGTTATGCTGCAAACAAGCAGCTGGCCATTTGCAATGGGAGAGTTCCAGAGCTCCAGGTTAAGCGAGTGACTGAAAGTAAAACACCCAAACCTCAACAGAAATAAACAAATCACTATGCATTTTACACCTTTTGGTTGTCACTGGGTATCCCGAAGCAGATCTGTTGGATTTAGAGAAGCACAGCCTCATTCCAGGCTTCGAGCAGTGCATGAGGGCTTTTCCCAAAGGTGAGCACTCCAGGTGCAGGGCTGGGAAAGCCACAGGGCAGAGGCCAGCTGCCTACCTGACACAGCACCACATCCAAATTCACTCTCTGCCACCCCTGCACACTGTAAGCAGAGGAGGAGCCAACTTTGTTGCTCCTGGTATGTCTTGTGTTACCTGCAGAATTTTCAGATCTTTAGAGAGGTATTTGAGTCATTTTTGCATCCCACTGGAACACCATTTACAAATGTTATGGTGAAGATATGCCCTTATCCCAGCAATAGAACTTTCCTTAGTAAGTCATCACAATTAAACGTTTCTCTCCCACCACATCTTTATACTCCTCCAGACTCAACCGCCTGCTAAAATTGTATTTAAAATGCCAGCATTTAGTCATCTCGTAGCACAGCAAACCTTTCCAACAAAGGGAACGAGCAAGAAAGCAAACCTGAGGTATATGCTCTTCTTTGGGAAAGGCTATTTTCCAGTCAGGAATATTCACCTGCTGAGTCCCTAAACATCCCGACTTACCCATTTTGATGACGCATCAAATATTTAACGTTCATAAACCTTCCCAGCTCTCAGGAGGTGTGCTGTGCATACAGCAGGTGTGATATAAGATGTATGCAACGTGGAGCACGGGCTACAGAGACAGCAGAGCATGGAGACCTCCTCCATAGGGCTGGGGATACCAGCTGCTCTGCGAACCATTGCCCAGCGTGCCGCTGTGCGGGTTTGGCCACATCAGCAGGATAAGGGAAAGCAGCATACACAGGGAGCTGCCACGTGCTGAGGAGGTGCTCTGAGCTCCTCTGCCCCCAGGCAGCCCCACTCCGCACCGCTATCTCCTGCTGCAGTAAATCCATCAGAGTCCATTGGTTGGGCAGCCCTACCAGAGGCACCCTGCCTGCTGCACCACAGCTCCTGCTCCCACCATGGCCGTGTCACAGGGCAGTTGTGCTGGGGAGGCTTGCACCACGAGAAGCACTTCCTCACGGTGCCCACCAACAGCTCATCACAGCACTGCCAGCAAAACAAACCGGCCTCTGGTTCCACAGGAACTTCTCTGCACAGCCTTCTGACCCAGCGCTTTCCTCCAGCTGCCCAACGGGTCAGGCCATGGGAACGCACGCTGGCTAACTTTGTTAGTGTAGATGAACAGGAAGGAACTCGGTGCACGGGGCAGAACTACTCTGGTCTGGGGAAACCACGGTGACCTTCCAGCACCGCACCCCTATCGCTGCTGAGGGAACACGGGAAAGTTGTGCAAGGCCTGAGATGCGGCACCCGCCGTGCCCACAAGGACAGCTGCCTTCGTGCTGAGATCCGGACAGCTTTTGTCCCTCAGTGAACCGTGCGGCCGGATGAGCCCTACGGCACCGAGACATCGGCACCCACAGGCAGCTCCGCTGAGCTCCGTGACGCGCACGCAGCTGCCAGGAGCGGCATTTCTGGACGGCGCTGCGGGCACCACGGCCGCGTTCCCGTCCCGCCCCGAGCCCGCCCGTACTCTGGCGCAGCGCGGCCGCCCGCGCCGAACCCAGCAGCCGCTGCTCGGCGCCCCGGTGCCCGCAGGGCCGCCGTGCCGAGCCGAGCCGTGCCGTGCCGCCCGGGCCCCGCGGCTCGGCACCCCTCGCACGGCAGCGCGGCGCACGGCCGCGCAGCGCGGAGCTCATCCCGCCGCGCCGTGCCCGCGCTCCCCCGGCGGGGCGTCGCACCGCGACCACCTCGCGGCTCTCGGCGCGGCGACGGCAGCTCCGGGCCGCGCCCCGCTCCCCCCCGCG